ATAATGAATTTTTATAAAAGTTCTTAACGACAGAATAAACGTATTGCTGTTTAATATTAACTGTGTCATTTCGGAATCCATTCTTTACATAGTTGTTCATTTACTTTAGGGAAGACGCGGAAAATTATATTTTTTCCTTTTGTTTTTGTATCAGAATTTTTGCAAGTTGCAATCGCGCAAACTGGCATTTCGATGATAGTTTTAAATTCTTGTAAATTCACTGCAAAAACTGAGGAAAATCATTATAGAAAATAACAAATGTCTTAGAATATCTCGCAAAAAGAAATGATCTAATATTAGTTAAAACTAGTAAGGCCGAACGCTCCGGTCTTGAAGTAAAAGTGCGAGCTTTGCGCCAAAGTGACGTCACTAGAGAAAATTGGAGGATTGGCGCGGTTAGTGTTACTTCAAAGGAATGAACCAGCCCTTCTATTCTCTTTAGCCCTGGGTTTTAGGAAACCTGTTATTGTTTACATTCCATACGCAAGATTGTGAATTGAGAAAGAGGGTTGTTTGATATGCTCAGTTATTTCAGAACTAAGTACGCGAAAGACTCAATTAGAGAGATGAAGAGTTAAAAAAAAAAGAGACTGACCGATGGTGTCTCCATCAGGATCCCTGCAGCAGGGTTTGATCCCAGCCTCCATGTCTCCTCTTCTTCGTCCTCAGTGGAGGCTGCCTCAGCCATACATCGCATCCAAGCCTCGCCCTCTCACCTAAAAAGAAATAACAAATAAAGCATCTCATAACAAAATAAATTTATATATTTAAAGATATGTGTTTTACCCAGTATGAATAAAGTATCTCATTCTCATAACAAAATGGGAATTCATGTAGTATTTAAAGATAACATCCTCTGTTTTTTACTCAATAAAAATGAAGTATCTCATAAGAAAACGAATGTACTATTTTTAACGATTGCATTCTTTATATTTTACCCCGTATGAATTAGTAAATCTTAACAAAACGAATTTACATATTTTTAAAGATAGCATTTTATTCAGTATGAAGGAAGTATCTCATAACAAAGTTAACTTGCATACTTTTAAGGATAGCATTCTACATGTTATACTCAGTATGAATCAAGTATCTCATAACAAAATGAATTTNTTTATATTTTACCCCGTATGAATTAGTAAATCTTAACAAAACGAATTTACATATTTTTAAAGATAGCATTTTATTCAGTATGAAGGAAGTATCTCATAACAAACTTAACTTGCATACTTTTAAAGATAGCATTCTACGCGTTATACTCAGTATGAATCAAGTATCTCATAACAGAATGAATTTACATATTTAAAGATAGCATTCGTTTTTTTTTTTTTTTAAGCTGTGTAAAAAGGAAGTATGCCACAACAAAATGAGTACACATTTTAAAAGAGAGCATTCTATATTTTTTTAATAAGTATAAATGAAGTATCGCATAACAAAACGAATTTAGATTTTAAAAGATAGCATTCTATTTTTACTTTTTTTTATGTAGTGAAAATAGAGTCTCATAACAAAAATGAATATAAAACGAGAGAAAATGATTCCTATTCGATGTTTTGCATAAAAAAAACATTTTCTTTTCTGTTTAACATCTTATAAAATTAAATAGCAAATAAAATTTAATTTTCCTTTTTCAGCACCTACCTCCATCACAAACGCATTAAATAAATTCAAAAACATATTCTTCATTTTTACTAATCATCGATTATGCAATAATCTTAAAATAAAACGAAAATTGCGCGAGTAAATTCAATTTACAAAATCAGCATTTTTAATTTTATTTATTTTAATAAAAACAAGTACTCAGCCATTTGAGCGTGTATATACAGAAAGAAAAAAAAAGTTTCATCGCATATAAGAATTTAGCTTACGTCAACATGATAAGCATAAAAATTAAGCAACTACGTATTGGAAAAAATCATTAACTCGTTACAAATCGTGATAAGATATTTTCTTTTAATGATTAAATGTAAGTAACACACATTATGAGGTCCTTAATACTCGCATTTTGATGAAAAGAGGTATTACTTAATAAGAGATTACTTTTTTTCTTCTTCTGTTTATTGGTGAATGCATAAACGGCCATTTAAATAACTTATTCGTAATCGAATTCTTTTATATGCAACACGACTACGCCACGTATGCAGGGGCAAACATTTTAGGTAAAAAATAAAACTACGTATTTAATTTATTAAGAAAAATTAATTAAAATCGTATGAGATCTAAAAAGAAGCAAGGAGGGCACATCTTTATAGAATGATGGATGATTTTTTTTTGTTTAAAAAACTAAAAAATAAAAACGATCTACAATTATAATTGCTAATATGATGCCAGTCTAAAATTTTCTATCAAAATTTGTTGCGACACTAAAGTTTAATGCAAAGCAGAGCAATTGAAACAAATCCAGATTTAAAATTCGAAGCGTGCTCCGATTTCTAAATCGAATGCTTTAAAAGAATTTCCAAATATTGAAGTCACTTAAAAAGTAATTTACGCGACTAAACTATCGAAATTGTTACAACAATGCCAAGTTAGAACAAATATAGTTTTCAAGTTTCATCTGCATAATGTCGACAAGTTCATTTCGGAAATAGTTTAAAAAGAATCCTTTGCGTCAGTGAAATTCCATTTTTCAGACACAAGGCCCCCCCCTGGCTTGTTATCTTTCTTATTCCAGAACACCTGACGCGACGACAGATTTGGGAGTACTTAGGAACATTTATTTTTAAAACATGAAAAAAGCTACTCACGCTGATGTTTCACTTGGCATCATTACTCGCTTTGCGAAATCCGTCCGACTAAGTTACAAATTATCCCTTAAATTTCGTTTGAAAAGACGAAACTGTGAATGAAAAAAAAAAGTATACGCATTAATCCTTTGACACACAAATTTTGGATCAAAGGATAAATGTATGGGTGATTGTGACACAAATTTGACACACCTTGAGAAACCCTGAAAATTTAATGTGCAAAAAATCGATATCAATTTATATACCAAACATGTTTCATATTTAACATTATTTTTTGAATTAGCATTTATAATTATATCACCAATTAATGAAGAAGTTGAATTTAAGCGATCCAGACAAATATGCCCATATGCAGAGTAATTTGATGCCTGGCCGTTACGAAAGAACCCGCAAAGTATTTGAGGCAAAGCAGATGGTGAACTCTCAGGCACAAGGCCCCGAGCCACGCTCGAAAAGGAGCACTACAAGTCGCGCCGGATGGCAAAGGAGGCAAGGAAGGGAAACACAATGCGCGATGAGGCCGGGTGGAAGCGGAGACGTCGAGTCTCGGCACCAGCCTGGATCGACAGCAGTCGAGCGGCCACCAGGAACTCCAATTACTCTCTGACCAGAAGGCCCTCTCATCATCACCAATTAATGAAGAATATCACACCTTTATAGTAACTAAGTCAAGAAAAAACTTACAAGAATCGCGATTTTGCATTTTAAAAGCGCATGAATATAAATCGCAAAATTGGATTTTAAAATCTCGTGAATGTGAATCGCGATATTGGATTTTGAAAAAGCGAAAATACAAATTAGGATTTTGAATTTTTAAATCGAGTTAATACGAATCACAAAGCAGTATTTTTAGATCACGTGAATATAAATCACATTGCGTGTTTTTAAATCACGTATAACGAACATCGATGTTTGATACACAGGCGCATAATTACGAATCGCAATATTGAATTTTGAAAATGAGTGAATACGAACGCGACATCGGATTTTAAACTCGCGTGATTACGAATCGCAAAGAGGAATTTTAAAAACGCGTGAATACGAAAGCGACAAAATTCTGAGAATTTTTATGAAACATATATTTCGTACTTTCGAAAAGGTGCTAGGTCGAAATAAGTGAAAAACATCATATTTAGTATTTTAATAATGTATGGCTATAAAATATAGCATTAAACACCGATACTTTCCTGCGTTGAATGTAAAATCTTCCAAACATGGCTCACTTCTAAAAAATTTTTTAAATTTGCACTTATTTAGGTCTGTAATAAACGGTTATTCGTCATAAAAAAAAATTTAATTTACAAAATCAATTCTTGAATATAAATTTTAAAAAATTTCAAACTATTTTTCTTGGATTTTATAATTAAAAAATACAAAAATATATTATTCAGGGTTTCCGGTCAATTTCAGACAAAAAAAAATTTCCTGATTTTTCCAGATATATCAGGTAAATTTTAATGAAAATCCATACCATACTTTATCAAACTTCGATTTTTTTTATTTGTAATGTCAAATATTAGATTTTGTGAGTCAAAGCATACAATAGAATGGAAAAGCTTCACTAAAAAGTGGAATTTTAGAAAATAGTTGCAATAGATGTACTTAACTCAAATCTCAATAACTTATTGCTGTTACAGACAACTCTAAGAAAGATTATTTTCCAGGTATGATGTAGGGAATTTTCCAGGTTTCTTTGTAAAAAGTTGCATCTTTCAACTGACTATACCTTGCTTTTTAGAGTAAAAAAAAAAAATTCCCCAACAATTCCAGATTTTCCCTGACCCGAGGGAGCCCTGTTTTTGCTTGTCAATAAAGCAGTCAGAAAACAAATGTATGAAAAGGACACCAGTTTCCCATTTGCGTCAAAAAGTTAAGAAAATTATATCAAGTCTATCTTGTTTCTCGTAGTCTAAGTTAAATCTAAAGGAAAGAGTATATTTTCTGGCAGTAGTATTCAATAAAGTTGTGAATTAATGTTGATTTAATCCCTCCTCCCTCTTTTAAAGTGAAACTTATTTACTTAATATGAATTTAGTAAAAGATAAGAGACGGTAAGTGCTCTTCCGGAATATACCGGAAGAGCACTTACTGGCGGACGGAATTCGCAAAGACTAAGTACATAAAATTCCGCAACTCTAAAATAGTTCCAGAGATCGGCGAAATACGCAGAGACTGACTAAACTATTGAGTCCATATTTAAAAATGCAATTATATCCTTTTGCTCAATTATCACTATTATTTCAACCACAAACTTACGTTTTAAAAAAATAATAATTTTTGGTTACTATAAAAGCTTGTTAATTTCACCAAAAAGAATATTTAGTTTTCAATGAAGCGCAAAGTAGATTCATAACATTACTATAAATTTTCAAATATTTCAGTAAAATTGCACTTTATTAGTTTATTTTCATATTTTTTTTTAATTTTATTTAAACGACTTATAACTCCTCATGCACCACTAAGTATAGCATGAGGCTTACAGTTGTAAGTAGAAAACAAAAGGAGGAATATTTACAAATTTACATTAAAAACAAAATTCCGCAAGGCCGCAAGACTTTCAATACTTTTGACCAGTTTTCATATTGACAAGTTTTTCATAGTATAAACAAAAACATAACGCAAATGCTGGATAATAATAAAACATAACGAAAAGTCTATACTAGAAAATGGCGCATAACAATCAAATACCACACGATTGTTTATACTGTACTAAAGGAACAACACTTAATTGTATGCCTTTAATTCTGAACAATAAATAAATGTTAATAGAGAATAATATCGAGAGAGGATGATAAGTAATAGTACCGGTGAATACCGTTCAGTAAGAAAGAAATAATTTGTATCGAAAAATCGCAATAAATTTTGTTAATTTAATGCCGTTGCTAGTCAAAGATATTTTGACGATTTTCTTCATTTATTGTTAACTACACCATGTGATTTTTCTGTCCAATAAGATTGCAAGAAACAGTAAG